GTACTAAAAGGCTTACGAACGGCCATTAGGACTCACTAGTGGAGCAGACCTGCTTAAATGACACCAGTGTAAACATGGCATAAGATAGATAAAAATAAAAAAGAAAAGTAAGTAAAAATGTTCAGAAAAATTCGGTTTTCCGCAAAAAAGATAAAACCACTAAAAAAAGTTAATTTTTAATGTTATTCAATCACACTAGAAACGAATAGATTTTGTTATTTTTTAAGGAGAAGAGGTTTAAAAATGCGTCGTCATCGTCACTATGCAATATGAGACAGTTTCTATCCCGGAACTTTGTTGTAAATATTTCAACAAATTTGATCATTTTCTTTGTTGGCCTGCATCCAGGTTTCATTTTGGTTTATTTGTTTCCGTGTTTTCTGATATTATCCAATTACGAGCTTATTTTTATGAATTAAATGCATCAAAGAATTTGTTATTCCACTACACATGGCTATATAATAACTTACAATAAAGACATAAGAAAAGAATCAATAGTTTAAAGAGAACTTTTTTTTTTTGCAGTAGATGGAGAGCATCCAAAAAGATAGTGTGAGACTTGAAGCCACCGAAATCACCTCACAGGAACGAGTTAAGAAGACTTAAGCCAACAGACTGTGAAAAACATCTGTCTGAGACCGCATTCTAGTAATCAGAGGGTAAGGAGAAGCTTAGTTTTTAATTTTTTCAAATTTATCTTAACTAAGAGTGAGAACGTATGTACAATAATTATGGGCGATGATGGGTATTTATAACAAACAGGGACTTTTTAGGAGAGTTATCTGTTTAAATAGTTTTACAGACAATCCGTGCAATTAAACCGATGTATATTTTCATAAACCACTGATGCTGCAAAGAAACACTCTGCACTCTTTCTATTATAGAGTCTCTCATCGAACATTCTAATGACAGTGAGCATCCTGTTCCACATTCTTCATTCCTCATTATTCTTTCTCCATACTTAAAGTACTATATTTTGTAAAAACAAGTTATTTAATGCAATAACTATATGGCCACTCAATATTTTCCATCAAAATGAAAATAAATTTTTAGATCAGTAATTTAAAAAGGGATAACTCTTCTCTGTTTGGAACAGATTTTTTTTGTATGATATATATAAAAATTTTAATAAAAACAATTTTATATTATTAGTGACCAAAATTAAATATTTTTTGTTAAATTTAAAGGAGGTTGATTCCATGGTACCTCTATGGTATCATAGAGAATACTTCAAAAATAACTGGTGGAAATAAGCATTTTTCCCAGAAATAAGATAGAATCGAATTAGGTCTGAAATGTGTGCTGATCTATAAAAATATATAAGAAGTTACATTTTATAGTTGGGAAAGTTGTGTAAATAATAGGTACTTTTATGCATTTATGTCGCTATTAACATATAAGTTTACGTTTAATTATTATAAATCTTCAAAAATCAATTGATTATCATAAAAATCGTAGAGCTGAAAAATTTATCATCGTCTGTATCTGCTTTCATTTAGTTAATTGATTTGTTGATAAGTAAAACTCTGAGTGCCACGATAAAAAATTGTATCTTCAATTGTCGAATCAGCGTATAGTGCAAAACTACTTATCATTGTGTTAGATTTTCTGTATTTTTTTGTTTTTTTTTTTATTCTTAATTCATTTTATTCACTACGCCATTGAAAAGGATACTAAAGAACTTGCGTGTTTGTCACAAACTAGAATTTTCTTATCTCAGATTGACAACAAAACATCAAAACGATTCAGCAAAAAAGTAACTTAAGCTGAACAATGATGTCCTCACTGCAGGAGGAAAACAATATACATATATAAAAAAAAAAATAAAAATAAAAACGAAGAAAAAGTGTTTGTATGAAAAAAGAAAAGTGTTTGCTATGAAAGCGATTTTCTATATCTCAAACAAAACAAAAAAAAATATCGATATAAAAAAAGCTCTCGAACAAATGTCATTTTAAATGCAGTACCTAGGGTAGAGGATGGTCAATAGTCTGCATGATTGTATGAATTTTGCATATCCTGCCATGATCACAACATAATTTTATATGCTAATTTCATATTAAAATCCTTAAATTTATTTTAATTGTCAAGTAAGGTGAATTATGGATTTTTTATTTTATTTCGCTTCCATGTTTGTTAATAAACGAATTTCGAAAGTGTCTAAAAATTAGTTACGTTTTACTTAAGCTAAAACTCATAATTTTAATTGTCCTTTCATTTACTTTGGCACTGCTATCAGTGCTGTTAGTGCTTATCTAAAGTCCTAACAATTTTCATATACTTGGCGTAAAACCTTCCTTCTTCATTGTCACATGACATGCCAAGACGCAATTAGCGCATACAAACTAATTTTCGCCACGGGACATCCTGCTAGGTTGGGTGCTCCTCATAACATTGGAGCTGAATTACTCGTATTCGTGCTGTATGGTTTAAATGGATCTGTGCCCATTGGCCCCTGCGTACTTAATAATTTTTATTTTTCGCTTGTCATTTAAGTTGAATTTTATTTTGTGAACAATTATGCTAATTTGTTAACTGAATTGAAATTTGGGTGGCTTCTGGCCGAGTTAATTTTTATTACACTAAAATGCTAATCACATTTTAAGCATTTTCCATATAAATTCCGCGTTTATTTTTATTCAACGCAGCAACGCAGCAACGCAGCACAGCAACTGCTGTTGCGCGTCCTTTGCTCCTTTTAGCGCTAATTCCGACCATTCCATTTGACGTCCAATTAAGTTCCGAGCCATTTAATTATTCTAATTTGCTTTTGTCGACGAACATTAATGATTTCCCGGCAATGCGCGTGCCAGATACGTCGAAATTAGTTTGTTTCTTGTCATTTGTTGCGGTGATGGCAGCGCAAGTGAGCGGCAGCCGAAGTCGGAATGAAACTCACAATGGCGGTGCTGGAAATGAGTTGACGTGCCACGGAAGGCCACACCTTGTTATGCTGCTCTAGAAGTGGCACAGAATTCATTTCGCCATTTGCACGAATGTTATCAGTGTTGTTTGACACCAACATTAATTTGTCTTCCTATCTTAAGGTTGTTGTAATTTATTTGTTTGTGTGCGAATATACAGATATCGCTTATTACACTTGGATTGGACTTATGTGATCTATTATGGCATTCTAGAACTTATAACACAACTTGTCAAACAAAGAAAATCAAAATCAAGTTACTCATTTTTAGTTTTATGACATGTACTATCACATTAATCAAACAAAAGCTATATCTGAATATAGCGAAACTAACTCGGACAGAGAAATTCATCTGTAAAATCTGAAGAATGATATTGTCCAAACTAAACAAGAAACAATCAGCTGCTTCAACTAAGACAGGATTTGCTCAGCACTACAGTATTGGTGCTGATAAGTCAATTCGTACTATGAAGATAGATTAAGGCATTGGGTCCACCCTATAGTGATATTTGTAGGGTTGTTGCTCTACGGATTAGGTAAAAGTTGTACACCCTTTAATGTATCGATCTCTGGGGTATTTTTTCTTATCAATCTGACGAAACTAACATCCTGCAAAATTAGGGATTTGACTAAGTTAATATATTTGTCAGGTAAATAAAAATTAACCAAATTTTCACATAAGAAAAAAACTAATCCATGATATCAGCACAATTCAGTATTATGTAAACTAGAAGTTAGAATAAAAATAAAGGCAGTCTGTGATATCACAATGCGCCATTATCGGAGTTCAAGAGAACTTGGGATACAAGTTCACCACTACAAGTTAATCTAACCTAACTATCACATTAATAGATATCTTGCGTTCGGGGGTTTGGTATATTTCAAAGTTTTTGAAATAAAGAGAAAACGTTGTCAGAGACTATATAAACTAATAGTTATATGCAATTGTCTGGTTGATTCACTATCTATCTAAATGTCAAAAAATTAGTTAGTTACTCTTTAAGCTTATAAAAAAAATACTTTCACAAGGTACTATGATTTAGGAAGATC